TGAGGTCTCCATGCCATCGATAGAAATCAGATGTCCTATCAGATTTCTACCCCTCATCCAAGTAACCTATTTCTGTCCGCCCAACTCACCCTCCCGAAACTCTTGTATCCTATACTGTTTAGTCACTTCGATCTGGAATGGTGTGTACTCGCAAATGTAGGCAGCCAGACGAGTCAGGCTCTGCCGACCGCTACCTCCAATACCGACGAGGAGAAGATTCCCACGAGGCTGTGTCAGAACACGCACCAGCTTACAGGCTGTAAGTTAAATAATGGAGACAGAGATAAATGAGAGAAAATTTGATGAGAGAATTTCAATATGCAGGGATGGTAAAGGGGCCTATAAAATAATCAATAATAGGTTACAACCTAGACAAAAAGGTGAAGATTTAAGGGCTAAAAATAATTTAATTAAAACCAAAGGTTCTCTTCGTAGATATGAAGGCCAAGCTGGTGTGGCCTTTTGTTCGGCAAAGTCTCATCTAGCATTAGTGTTGGTTTAAACTTGTTTTCACAACTTGGTCGGAGCGTCACGGAGACCTTGTAGTACGTATCTAGTCCTATGCCTACTATCATAGTATTCGTGATATCCAGCATCGGACCATTGGCTTTGTAAATTATCAAACGCTTCGCTGGCGTCGTAGTCATCATTGTTAGTGAGAGGTGCCATCCTTAGCATAGAGTTAAAACCTATCAAAGTTACAAGTGAAGGCAGTCCCCTTGACCAATGTTCTGTCCAACCGTTATGGCCGCACTCCTCACTCCTATTTTTGTCCCACCTAGTACTGCATCTATTTCTTTCAACCCAACTTCATATGGCGCATTTAACTATTAACACAATTCTGTGCTCACGTTTCCTCCAATTTAGTCTAAGAGTGTGTCGCTGCAAGTGTATTTAATGAGGCAAAATCATCTTCACCACCGGTTCCAGGTACCGTTTGCAGAGTTCATGACCTTTACTCAGCCCCCTTATTCTACCCTATTTGCCAATTGGTTGTTGATATACACCAATATCACTGTTTGACTACATAAAAAACTTTTCGAAGAATCCCTTAGTAAATTCATTTTGAAGTACCTTTCATTTAGTCTGAAGAGTCGAGTGGAAGGGATTCGTAACTTGGCCTCGCCGGAAGATGTAGGGGGATTGCCTTGGAGCTGTGATTGTAGATTTGTGCGAATAAGTCCTCAGCGCACCGCCCTGTAGCACCAATGTATCCTTGCTGAGCTTTTATCCGTCATGTGACGGATATCGTCAAAAGCCGGACATCATGCTTTACGATAATTTACCAAGCATAAAGACAAGCAAGATGGCCGACTGCAATCCTACCTACTTTTTATAGCCCAATTTTGTCCACTTAATGAGAGATCTCATGAGTTAGCTGCATATCCTATGCTTTTTATAAATGCTGCTGAAAAGTCTTGTCTTTGTGTTTGGCGAATTATCGTAAAGCATGGTGTGCTGCCCTAACGACCTTCGTCACATGACGAACAAAGACTCAGCAAGGCGTTATCGAGGTCGTAGGGCGGACGTATTCGCACAAATCTACAAGAACAGCTACAAGGCAATCCTTACTTACGAATCCCCTCCACTCGCCTTTGCAAACGAAGTGAAAGGTACTCCAACACTGAATGGCTGAACAAGAGCCTTTAATTCATGTCCCCGATTACGCCATATTCGAAATGCACCGCTTCCCTTTTTCCCTTCTCAATCGCGAAAAACACACTCCTCTTATCTCTCTATTTGACATTCCCATATAACTCTATAGTACTAGGATGTTGTTCATATGTGTGCTGATTGGTATCCCCGTGGTCAAGCATATCATCACTCTCAACTCATTAAGGCACACACACGAAATATGCATACAAACATGCATGCACACTAGTGACCTGTATTTGGCCTACGTATACCATAGCCTTTAAGTTACTATACTATACTATACTATATCTCACAGATGGATCGGCCCGGATAATTTTTTTTGGTTGATTCCAGATTCGACTTCTTCCCCTGCAACCCCCTTTTCCTGACTTCCTCTTGCTCCTCCTGATCCTCTTGGCGATGTCTCTTACTGTTGTTGAATAATTGTTCTTGGCTCAAGCGTCTTATTTTTGCTGTCCTCGCTGAATCTCTGCCTAAGCAGCGCGCAAAATCATCGCTAACTCTTCCCTTTTCCAATCTCATTTTTTAACCGAGAAGACTCTCACGAAACGACTGTTCCGAAAAAGTCTTACACCAGAATAAGCCTTGGCTTCCAGTCTAACTATGGAATGAAGGTTGGAATACTCCGGAGTATGGTCATAAGAAGACATTTGGTTTCAAACATCACTTCATACACGCCTTTAAGATATTCGGGATCCTATGGATTTCTTTAGGTTCTTAGTTAGGAAACGAAACCCTATCTTAACTTCAAAATTTGAAGTAGACCTATTGATTAAGGAAACATTTATTTGGCGTATTTTCAGTTGGCTGAATTCACCATCAGGAACATATTCTACGAGACGGGAGCACATATAGTATACTAAACAAGGACCCAACTATGAAGATCATTTGAATCCTAAGTAACATGCCGAAAGATAGGCATAGGAACGGGAAAATTGACGAATGGACAAGAAATTGAATCATAAGAAAGAATGCATGACCACCAACAGCCTACAGATTACAAAGGTAAACGAAGAACGCGAGCCACTAAGGCTGATAGTCAACAACAAGTATGGGGCAACACACAAATTGGCAAAGTTTATATGTTTGAAATTAAAGAAATTTAATGAGACGCTATCAAATACGGTTAAACATTCATATGAATTTTCTCAAAAAATAAAAAACATAGCATTGGAAGAAACGGAGTTATTGGTAAGTTTCGATGTGGAATCCATACATACAAATATTTCTGGAGAAAATGCGCAAACAGCCCTGCTGGAAATCCTTTACCGAGAGAAGAATATTCTGGAATCCCAACAGATAAGAAGGGAGCCGTTAACAAGACTAATCAACTTGACAATAAGAACAACTTATTTTACATTCAACGAGAAAATCTATGAACAAATATTTGGACTTCCCATGGGATCACCGCTATCACCAGTTTTGGCAAACATATACATAAATAAAATAGAATAAAACTTCAAGATGGCACCGCTACAACCGGTAGTGCTCATGCGGTACCTGGATGATTACTTCGCACTTGGTCACATGGAAGAGAAAACTGGAAGAGTTTCTGAAGTTTGTAAACCAGATTGATGAAAAAATTCGATTCACGATGGGAATAGAGGAAGGTTAGAGGTTACCATTCCTGTATGGTGAAGTGATTCGCTCTAATGGGACGTTCAAAAAGAAGTCCTATGCTGAGATAATACTCAATTTTCGGTCCCATCAGAATTACAGGCTAGAAATAGGAATAATGAGGATCATGATCATCCGAAGCCTACGCCTAACGGATGTAGAATTCTAGGACAAGGAGCTGGACAAATTGACTAGGATATTGCTCGGCAATGGCTACCCAATCGAAGTAATACAAAGAAACAAACGGGCCGTGAAAAGCCGATGGCAGAACAGGGACTATGAAAGAACAGTAAGGGCTATAAAAGATTCACAAAAGTGGATATGCCTACCTTCCTGCGAATTAACTCAAAAACTGCGGCCAATGTTGAGGAAATGGAATATCCAGGTGGCGATGAACGATAAATCATCACTTTTCACAAGTCTACCTACGCAGCATGAAAGGGTGGAAAAATAGGATTATTCATGAATTTTCTATATATTATATGGCGCTTGCAAACTGAAATATATTGAAGCAGGGAGAGAAATT